CGGGGAGCGCGGGGCCGCCGGGGCCGGGCTGAGCGCGGGATGCGGCCGGCTGCGGCCACCTGAAGCGCGGGCACCATGAGCGGCGGCCGCTTCGATTTCGACGACGGTGGCGCGTACTGCGGGGGCTGGGAGGGCGGCAAGGCGCACGGCCACGGCATCTGCACGGGGCCCAAGGGCCAGGGCGAGTACTCGGGCTCGTGGAACTCGGGCTTCGAGGTGGTGGGCGTCTACACGTGGCCCAGCGGCAACAAGTACGAGGGCTACTGGGCGCAGGGCAAGCGGCACGGCCTGGGAGTGGAGACCAAGGGGCGCTGGGTGTACCGCGGGGAGTGGACGCACGGCTTCAAGGGCCGCTACGGCTTGCGGCAGAGCGCGACCAGCGGCGCCCGCTACGAGGGCACCTGGAACAACGGGCTGCAGGACGGCTACGGCACCGAGACCTACGCGGACGGCGGTAAGGGCGGGGCGGGGCGGGGCGCGGCGCGCGCGTTTTGTCGCGCGGGACAAAGGCTCAAGCCTCTAGCCCCGCGCCTGATTGGCCCGAGCTGTGCAGGGATTGGTGGAGCCCTGAGCCAATCAGGCGCCCCACCAGGCAGGCGGGATTCGAACCCCAGCCCGTACACCTGCGGCCTGGCTTCCTGACCGCGAAGCCGACTTCACTTCTTTTTTCTTTTAAGTTGACCTAACTGTGAGTGGACGCTCCTGTGCGGAGCAGAGCTGAGTTCAGTGCAGTGCAGTGCATGTCTTGAGTTGCAGCAGTTGTCTTGAGTCGGGATAGTTAAGTTGACTTTGCTTTGCAAGATGGCAGCTACCCTGTGAGGGAGCTGTACTTGTGTGGGCTCCAGTGTGGCTTAAGTCGACTTACTTAAGTCACCTTATTTGAAGTCTTCTGAGGCTGTGTGTATGCACCCTTCATCTCGCAGCGAAGCACAACGTGGGTACACGTGCTGTTTCCCCAAGCTTGAGTGGGTCTGTGTACCTGGCAGGAGAGAGAGGCAATCCACAGGTTTTCCATTGCCCTCCAGGCAGGCTGACCCCTGCCCCTTTCCCAAATGCTGGAAACTTGGCTGCACAATGGTAATGGGGACTACTTTTGTGCTTTCCGCTGGCTTGCTCCTTCCACTGTTTGGCTAGGAGCAAGCGAGGCTAGGGGGCATCAGAGCTCCAATGCCTCTGGGCTTGCGGCCTGCTCCTAGGATGCCTACCACAGACGTGGGGAGTATCCGAAGCACTAGACCGATGGGTCTGGGAGGAAGAAGACTTGCCTGGTGGTAGAGTCACGGACACTTGAACAATTGAGCTTAGCTCAGTTGATCTGGAATTTGAAACTAATTTGGCCTTAAGCCAAAAAATCTAGGATTCTGGAAAACAGTGTGACATGCATCATCACATATAATGCAACACAGATTTTTCTCCAGTTAAATGCAAACTAGAAGCTTTTCTAATATGCTAGGGGCTCAGGGTTGGATTCTTTAGTTTAAGATTGAAGCAAAAACCAATATATCTTTATTGGAATGAGTTAAAAAAGCAGCTTCTTTACTAGGAACAGTGAACAGAGCACAACACTGCAGCACAAAGGCTAGCTTGATGGGTGGAACATCAAGATCATTAAAAAGGAGGGCGGGTGGTTAACACCTGTGGAATGAAGAGTTCAGAAGGGATGGGTAGATGCTAATGAGCCATGGGGTCACGGGATTCCCTCAGCACTGCCCAGCTAGAAACGCAGCTGCTGCCAGGCAGTTGGGTTTAAATTTTGGTGGAGGAATCAAAGGGAGGTGCAAGCAAACCTGTGTATCCCCTCCTGGAGCTGCCCTAGATACATGTCAATCCTTGCTAGGACGCATCTCGCCTGTCATCTACACTCCAGCATCGCGCTGCTCTGTGGGTTCTGGTCAGTCCCAAACTGCAGGGTGGCATGGGCAAATGAGTTAATCAAGTTATTTAGGGGATTCCAGATCAAACCCCTACTTGGCAAATCCGCATCCCTACTCACATCCCAGTTGTACCGATTCTTCAAATATTCACCGTACATGTTAGAAATGCTTTGTTGACAAGTGTCTGAAACCGGGGGGGGAAGTAATGAAACATCCCAAGAATCCCTGTGTAAGGAATTGCAGAGCCCTTCTATGTAACATTCCAGTCTGCCATATTTAGTTTAGCTAAATAAAGAGAGTGATTTGGAGCCGGGGGAGGAATCCATTGAAATATGCCTCAGAACTGCATTCTGTTTTTATTCAGGGGACACACTGGCAATCATTTATGAAGGCAAGATAACTTTAGAAATATAATATTTCATCATAGGGAAGTATGGCACTGAAAGCTGTTAGATTTGCGAGGATTCAGGCAATTGGCATTCCAAGGCTTGGCTTTTATCAAGAATTATTGAGGAAGATGCTTAATAGTAGTATGAGGAGTCTTGTTGAAGTTACTTCTTGTGCTCTTGACCCATGAGGTTGTGGGTAAAGCTGCAGGGTAGAAGTGGCATCTTTCCTCAGTCCTGTTCCTTAAATTTCAGTCATCTTTTGTCTTCAGGGCATGGAATTGATATTAAATAATACCCTATTTATTCACATACCACATTCACTATTCTCCCCAAAATTAGAAATGGCGAAGTGGGGTGTCTTGAAACTGATTCTAAACAGAAAGGAAAAATCTTTTTCTTCATTCTACCTTCCCAAACCAAGGTGCTGTTTTGGGGGTGGTAGGTGAGTAAATATGGAAAAATATAGTTGTACTATAGTATCTACAGCAGAAGCTAAAATATACCTGTATTTGTGATGAATTTAAAATGTTGATATATGCATCTTTGAATCATTTACAAGGTTTATTTACACTTAGTTTAATGACACACTCAGAATTGTTGCCTAGCTAATATCTAGTATAATATTTTTCCCTTGCAAGTGTCTTACTTTGTCTTGTAGATAATATGAAGGGATTATCTCACCCAGTAGTATCTCTTTGGTATGCTGCTGTGAGTGTTGAATGGTTTGGATTAACCCTATTTAGCAGGGGAGGCTGAAAAGAAAGAATATGGCACAGAATTTAAAATGTAACTGAGGTGCTAAGGTGAATACTATTCTACTATTGAAAAAAAATCAGATCCTTAATTATGTCTTTCAGAATAAGTTAGGACTTTGTTATATACCATCTAAGAGACAGCCCTTTTGTCAACGAAGTATTCCCTACCATTCTTTTGTTACTGACTCAATATTGAAGCAGTTCCCAGACTTATTAGGGAACGTGTCACTTAATATATCCCTAACAGCCTTTGACCATTAGTTTAGCACTGATCCAGAAAGATGTAAACCACTAAAATCATTTCCTGCAATCCCAAAGTGTTTCTTTGGGGTCTCCAAGGACTGATCTGGTCTGACTGTGGCTAGCTTGTGAGCTCTGAGAAGTTCATTGATGAGAGTGATGTGGTTGCCAAGTATTTGTCGATTTATCAGACAATTAGGCCTATGCATAGTGGGTGTTTGGGCAGTTCACTCAGCCTAAGAACTTTTCTGACTTAAGAGAGGATAATATCTAGGGTGCAACACCAGAAGCTAAGATTTGTGATTAATAACTGACACTGAGAATGGGGCGCACGTTATGTTATGAAAACAGCATTCATTCTGTCTGCTCATCTTCATCTACCCCCTGATCACCAGATCCAAATGGGACCAAACTCCCTTAACCTGAACTTGTTAAAATTTGTTCTTGAGACATCCAATTCAAGGACCTAGGATAGCCTTCCTGCTATGTGTTGCAAAGTGGGGTGCAAGCTTGAAGCTCTAGCTCCTTGGTGAGTAGACCAGTGGTTCTGAACTTTTTCAGACTCAAGGCACATCTCATCAGACTCAAGGTACCCCTCCATAACATTTGTGAATTAAGGGACACCCCTTTTCTAAAACAAATATATCTCTTTGCAGAGGGGCCAGGCAGTGGGGGTGGGGGAGCAGCTAGGCAGGCAGAGCCTGAGCATGCTAGGATCTGCTTATGTCATTACACCTCCAGCCTCAGCCTGTCCTTATCAGCTTACCGCCTCACACCTCACTTATCTCTTCATACCTCCTGCAGCACCCTTCAAAAGATCTTGTGGCACCCTAGGGAGCCCTGGCACCCTGGCTGAGCATCACTGGACTAGATACATGAGAAAAATAGTCTCCAACTTTGAGAACCCCTATTTAATATTTAAACCTGTCCATCTGTTTTTAAAGCATTAAACCTGTATTTTAAAATGATGTATTTAGCTCAAATTATCATTTGAAAATATAACTCTAGTCACAGAAATTAAGCCTGGCACCCTTTCTGTGGACCGGGCATCATAGGTCAAAAGGGGATTGTGATTTGGTACCAGGAAGCCGTTTGTGTGTGAGAGCAGCCCATGTTAAAACACCAAGTGAAAGGCTCCTTGCTTAGACTCCTTTTTCTGGCTTTTCTTCCAGCATAACCAAAACTCATCATTCTAGAACTAATGAGAGAGAAGTGGGTTGTGTCTCAAGGCACTCTGTGTCTGATAATATAAAACCTCATGGAAGAATCTGCTACTATAAGAAAGTGGTCCTAACCCCTGCTCTGCTTTACAAATGACAGTATATATTACTCAAAAAAGGTACTTTTCTTTCATACAAATTGTGCCCCCAAAACATTTTGCAACGTTGATGTTTGCAGACCAATTCCTAGTTAGCTGAGAAAACACACTGGCAAAAATTCATATTGTGAGGAAATAATTAAAACATGTAATTTTTGCATGTAATGTAAGCATGTAACATTAAGACAGATAAAGAGAGGGTAGGTGAGTTTTAGGTGAGAAGTGAAAGTAGATAAAGACTGTGAAGCGGAGAGATCTAGTTAGAGAAGTAGTTATAACTGGTAGGAGCTGCAGAGGAGAAAATACTTCCCCTGACAGTGGTGGCATTGTGGAGACCTGTGCTAGATGAATAATGGAAGACAACAAGTAGCGGAAAGAGGAAAGATCTGTGGGCTTGGCCAAAGAAAGTCTATGGAAAATTATAAAAATAGGAGGGGGCACTTTTTGGATCCTGAAGTGCTTGGATACAGTTGTGCTGCTTTGTGCATAGGTGGAGGACAGAGCTAGGTAAGTTCTGGCCTCTACACAGCTGGGACTAGGGGAGAAACTTAGGGAAGGAGATAACAGCATTCATCATGCAGAGAAGGTGAGGCTTAGAGGAAGATTTCTCTGGAGCTGGAACAGAGGTGGTAGCAGTGATTTTGCTGCTGCTTTTGTGGGCTGTCAAGTGCAGATAATAGATAGCAGCAGTATTGAAGTTTGCCACACTTCCTACTACTGATGCTGAACAGCCACTCTGAGGCAGCTAAGAGGAGATTTGGATGTTCCTAAAACCTTGGGCCAAAGTCAGCCCTAGTGCAACTTGACTGACTCCAGAAATAATGATAAAAGAAGAAGTACTACTTCACTGGATTTAAAGTGCTGTGTTAAAAAGAAGT